AAGACGGGAGAGAGAGAGCAGACGGAAGGTAGTAGAGATGAAGACGGAAGGTAGAGATAAGCAGACTGCGGAGGAAGAGTTTAAAAAAAGAAAAACACCCACGAGATGTATGCAGAATGCAGAATTATGAAAGAGAGCGAGAGAGGCCAGGTGGAGAAAGAGAAGTAGCCTTGGTAATCTCAGCACATGAATATTCTCTTATTCTTTTATTCTCTGTCTAAGCCTGTAATGTGGATCCAGTTAAACACACTCCTGGACGTCCTCTTTCAAACCCACAAACACACTCATAACTTTTGGCATAAATCGGAAGGAGCAGCTTTCACCTATAGTCCACCGTCATGGTCCACTAAGGTCTAGTTCTTCCTCTGACAACCAGACGCTTCACTGTGTTTTCAGGGCTCATACAAAGCAGCTATCTCAGTTTGATGCTTACCAATATACCCATCTGTGGGTCCATACAGGTTTTCTTTTGGCACAGATGTATGAAGTCTAAACTTAGACCTGCATTGTGGGGTCTCTCCTCTCGGGTCTCAGTGTGATCTCAGGAGTAAACGGGGTCTTTTTAAAGCTTTCACTTCTATCAGAGACAGCCGTTCGCCGACTGCGTATTTGGCCTTTCTCGTACAAAATCCTTTCCCGGTGTGAGAAGAGCCGGCGGGAGTTTCTTATAACCCCATCTGTGACCAACGTCCGGGAGAGGAAGCCAGCTTTCAGATCGGCGCGGGATAGCAGATAGCGAGCCAGTAAACGGAGGCGTTTTGTTTTTTTGGACGCAGCGTCCCCGAGAGCGATGACATGGCAACGGTGGAAAATGTCCAAGGACAGCTTGGAAGAGACGGTCTGTTGGCCGACTGCCTCTCGTGTTTCTCCCTCTGGGCTTTCTATTTTTCCTCTTTCAGTCCGTCTTTCTTTCTGCCCACCTCTCTTGATCTTTAGTTCTGTGTGTCTGATGCTTTTGTTATCTTTTTAATTCATCTGTTCTTTCGTTCCTTTCAATATCCTCTTTCTCATAATCTTTTGTTCTTTTTTCTCTCATCTACTTCTTCCAGTCTGTCTTCTCCATCTTTGTTCTTCTAATCTCCCCATAACGCCCTCCTTTTTCTTTCCCTTCTTTCTACCCTCTAATCTCTCATCCTTGTAGCTCTCTTCCTCCTCGTCTCTTGTCTTTCTGTCTCGTTTCCACATCCCTCTCTCCTCATCCTAGCTATCTTTTCATTTTCCTCTTTTATTCTCTATCTTTCATTTTCCTTCCCTTTCGGTGAAGAGTGAGCACTTTTACTACAGTTACAGTTACTACTTGTTCACTCTGTTGTGCTTGCTCTCCAGTTAATTCACATTGTTTTTTATCCATGCAGTCTTAGTGGTTTGTTTGAAAAATCTATAGATTGCCATGAAATGTACTGCAGGCCTTCATGGTCTCCAGATGATGTATTGTGACTTTGTATCCGGCTCTAACAGCAGCTCAGAGATTACACTTTCCAGCACTAAAGTTTATCACAGAATAAAAAGTCTAAAAGTGGCAAAAAAAATGTATTTTCGTGTCAACTTGCCATTAAGAAGTTAATGTTGATTGCACATTGTAAACGGGTTAGAATGACACCATCAAAAAGGTGTTTACGCATGTTAATATGCTAAAACTATCATTGCTAAATTACTAAACATTTCATTTTCAGGTTTTCAAATGTTGGGGTTGCACAGAAAAGTTTTAAAACCCTGATTTAGTTCTGAATAGTTTTTTTTGCATAATATCATTTTGTGTTTTGTTTCAGTTTGTCGTGGCTCAAAAAACGATACCCATGAGCCTCAGCTGCTCATGGAGAAGCTTCATCTAAAAATAACTATTGTCCAAAACTGAGAACCCAGAATGTGAAAGTGATCCGACGTTAAACCGCTGAATGTTTCATCAGGTTTCTACAACGTGTAATCACAGTCGGAGGAGCTCTGATTGCAGGTTTCTTGAAGAAATGCACCATGGGAGTCGTAGTTTTCTTCTTTTTCAAGATATTCTTCTGTCAGAGTCCAATCACCTAACATTGATTATGCACAAAATAATGACTCTTTATGCTTCAAGTGATTTTAAAATGCTAAAGAGCTGCTGTGTGTGTGTGTGTGTGTGTGTGTGTGTGTGTGTGTGTGTGTGTGT